ATGTTGAGCTGTTAGTTCATTTCTCTATTTGAACCACAGTGAATCTCTGGGCCAGAGCTTATGCAGGTGTCAAGGAGTTAAGCCACGATTCCAGAGACTGACTGATGTCAGACCACGCTGATGTATGTTAAGTTCTATAATATATACAGGGTTAATCAAAATGTTGTCAACGAGTATAAATGTCAATTGTTTTACTAAGGTTTTGTTTTCTCCTCCACAGATGGTGAAGGATTGTAAGGTAACTGTTAAAAAACTCTGACCGTTAATTACATGGGTTACTGTGATAAAAAAGGTTTCAAACAAAAGCGTAAATATCAAAGTTGTCGACCGCATTTTGATTAACCCTGTATTTTCCTTCATCTTTCAGTTCAAGTATCTAGAAGCTCTTCATAAGAAAAAAATTCAACTTCAACAAGCTCGGGAGGACAGTGCTGAGGAAATACAGAGAGAACTATCAGGTGAGGCATCGCCCACAGAGCGCATACCGATCATTCTGTTAGAAATAAAGAAATGAAGCCCGACCCCCTCTGTGTGAATAACAGATGACTCAAGTACACTGTAAGAGTTCTTTTGGACCCGTATGGATCTGAAACTTTCCCAGCCTGAATGTACGACTTGGTTATTTCATACTGTGGCTTTTCCAGGATTATGGTCCAGAATTCCTAGCCTGGGAATCTGCGCAGGTGAGCCATTATAGGCTTCTATTTTCAGGTGATGGAAGAGAATAGCCAGGAAAGTTTGGAATGATCAATCAGGAGCTGGCTGCGAACAGGATGAGAGGAATGTGATTTTTCATATAAACCAACTTCTGAGTCTTGTCTGTTGTTTTTGTGCTCGACTGCCCTGTTTGAATAGCCTGCCCACACACAACAGGACACAAAACCCATAACCTCCTCCAAAATCCAAAAGACATTTAGGCCAAGTAAGTGAATAAATGTTTTGTGCATTTCCAGCCACAAGGGAATCTCATTCCTGGCTCTTTTCTGGGATTGGGGTAAACTCCATGGCTCCGCTTGGGGTATAGACCAGCTCCCAATGGCGTCCCAGTCCAGAGTCCCGTCCTTCCGTCTGCTGGAAACCGGAGAAATAAATCCGGCAAGCTCTTGTCCCTGCACAGCTGGCGTCTCTTCCCAGCGTGCACCTGACGGGGAAGTAGCGCTCGAAGACGGAGAGGACCGAATCGCTGCCCGACGCCTCGGCTCCGCGTTCCGGGTGGGTATCCAAGGACACGATGAGCTGGCACTCGGCGGGGGGGTCTCCGGGGGCCCCGGCGCGGGCCCGGCTCAGGAAGGTGGAGGTGTCGCACAGCAGGGCGGAGAGGCGCGCGGCCATCTGGTGCGCCTGCTCGCCCTCCCCTCCCCAGCGCAGGTAGCACTCCAAGCCGTCGACGATGAGGAGGGAGGGCGGCGCGCCGGCTGCCTCGTGCAGGCACGCGACGTCCCGCAGAAGCTCCTCCGCCGTCCGGGGGTACACGAACTTGATTTTCTGCAAATGCATGAGGGGACATCATGAGATGAAAGCGCTAAATAAGTGTAAGAAATAATAATGGTAATAATAAGAAGAATAATTATTATTGTTGTGGTTAGGAAATGTAGGTCAGCACGGTAGAAGAGTGGTGAACACTGCTGCCAATAAAGCCCTGGCTTCAATTCTGGACCTGGGGTGCTGTCTGTGTGGAGCCTGCATGTTCTCCCTGTGTTCATGTGGATTTCCTCCAGGTGCTCCAGTTTCCTCCCACAGTCCAAAACCATACTGATTTTTTTTTCGATCAAAATAAACTTTATTTCAAAGAAAACATCTCACAAGAAGTATAGATTCCAACACATTTCTCAGTCAGGTGTCCATTATCATTCATTGCAAGTGGATGAAGGGTCCAGATTTGCACAATGAAAGAGTCCCTCCTAGCCCTACCGTAAACCATACTGATAGGTTAAGTGACTTCTGGGAAAACTGGCCGTGGGGTGAGTGTGTATCTGTTTATGTCTGTGTGTGCCCTGAGACAGACTGGCGTCCCGTCCTGGGTGTATCCTGCCTTGTGCCCATCACTTGCCTGGATAGGTTCCAGCTCCCCCACAACCTTGAATTAGAGCAAGCAGTGAGAACATGGCTGGAAGGGTGACACAGACATGTACGTTTGGTGAGACTGAGCTATGACCCCAGAGGACAGAGACTGCTCTCATCTGCTTAGTTCTAGGATGGCTCCAAGGAGGCTGGAAACTGATGCCATCTGCTTTTCTGTCTCCAACGGCTTTTTATTAAAATATTTACTAGACTGAAGACAGAAATACCTATATTGAGTGATTTAAAGATACTTAATACACTGAAGACTGAAAACAGACTGAAGACAAAAAAGATGTAATAGACACAGTCTATCAATATTTACTACACGTTCTGCGTTCTGTAAAAATCAAAATAAATTTGAGAGTTCTGTTACAGACGTGGGTAAGAGCCGGTGTTAATCATTTCAATATCCTTGACTACACAGCGTCAAAGTGAAGTTTTATGCCCCCGTAGACATGTTCACGGTACCTACTTTCAGGCTAGCGGGGTCCAAGCCTGCCCGCGCTTCCATCAGCGGAGCAGGGAGGGTCTGGATCGGAGTGGGGCTCAGAAAGATGACTTTCCGCCCCAGTTCGGAAGCCGCCATCACCGCTGTTAGAAACAGAAGGCACGTCTTGCCACAACCCCGGCCCCCCAGCAGGATACAAGACAGTGAGCGGGCTTCTCCCTCAGGAGGAGAAAGAGAAAGAGACGACTCGCGTCCCCGAGGACTGTAGCGATCGAAGACCCAAGTCAAGAGTTCTGCCATATTGCCATTACCATGGAAACAAAGCCGACAAGGGAGTAACTTCCTGTCTCCGCTCGGTCCGAAAACAAACCCACACGTGAACTCTTCCCGCGCTGTGTCAGGCCCCGCCCCCGAGCTGTTATAGGGCGAGATGTGCGTATGTCAGGTGTCTTGAGTTCCCATTGGATAAAAGAAACGTAGGATTAAACCGCAGCACCTTTTACTTGAAGACATATTCACGACACCTTGATAACGGAGATTTTAAAGTGCAAGCTATTTTTGACATTTAAAAAAAAATGCAGTTATCTCGTTGATCTGTTGAATCTCTCTGGTTTGATTAAATGTAGCTCCTTGCTTAGGATTAAAAAATTAAATACTTAAAGTTATCCAGACAGACTGCTTTAAAAATATAATAAGAAGAAAAGTCGGTTTCGAACTTTTTGTTACTCTTAGCGTGTGCTTGCGTTAAAGATAAACGTCGAAGAAGAAACTAATGTTACAGCCTAACCTGGTACAAGGAGAAATAGCGTGGGTACAGCAATTCTAGAGCGAAATGATTCGATTAATCAAAAGAAAAAAACAGTGTGTGGCCTACAACAGTATTGTAGCGCTCTCGGCATTTGCCACTTTTAAAAACAGTGCCAGAGGAATTGGTTTTGTCCCATGCTGTTCTTTCAATTTTGTGATTACACTGAATATGTGTACTGAAATAAAGTAAAAAGAATAAATATATTGCCGCTATCCAATCATTTTTCTCCAAGCAGTGTTTCCGGTGAGGTCAAGTCGCATACCTTGACTATTTCCGGTAAGGTCAGAAACATACACACAGCTGTTGACCAAGATGGCGCACATGAGTGCCGAGGAAGAGACGTCTCTAGACCAGGAGGCTGGAGACCAAATTTCGGCGATTCTGCGGCGCTGTCGGGGACGTCCTCGCCTCACTGACACGGACCGAGCTAAGAGGCGATTGGAGTCCCGGAAAAAGTACGACGTCCGGCGAGTGTACCTCGGGGAGTCGCACAAACTGTGGAGTGAACTTCGGAAGCGGACCAGTTTAAGCGACGCCGGACTAGCCGAGTATTTAATCCTGCTCGACTCGATTTATGGCGAGAGGTACCAGCAGAAATACGGCGGGTAAGCCATTTACAAAAAATATTTTATTATTATTCTTGTGAGCAGAACATGCTTCATTTAAGGGTAAGCTTACTAAATGGTACACGACCAGAACTAGTGCAAACCTAATATTCAGTTTAATAACCCTGTGCTCTCTCGACCAGGTACTTTGGCTGCTAGCAATATGATAATTTATTTTTTCAATAAATTTTGTCTCATTATAGTCTTTTTTTCTGCATAGAGAAGTCTTCCCAATCAGTCAATTCTAATCTAACCGTAGTTGTTGTGACAGTGGTATTTTGTCCATCTGTGCTATTACTGTAGATGTCTTATTTATGTAAATGTCTTGGCTCAGATGTTATGTTGCAAAACACATGGATTTTTAGTTGATCTGAAGCGTAATCTAGTGATTTTCAGATTCCCCTACAAATGCACTGAAATATTTCGCCTAAATCCCTCATCACGATTGCCGAATTTTGACTCACCCAGGAAAAATTGCTCACTGATATCTGCATTTGTAACTTCTGCAGTACAGCTATAAATGTTCTGTAAAACATTGCTAGAGTGAGCCAAGTAATGTCCAAACTGCATTGCACGTTGAACCATTTCTAATTTTACAGAGTTTAATCTTATTCATTTTGCCTTGCTGATCAGTGTGGGTTTTCTTGTGGTATTTTAACACATTAGTCTGTTCAGACTGTTTTGTTGCATCAGATGTGAGAAAATGTCCTACTGACCTTACAGCAAGGGGATAGGAAAATGCAATGACCTCTTTGAATTATTTCAATTACTTACTGCTGTCTAAACCATAGCCTGTATCATAACCCTCTTCTTGTCTTTCAGAAAGAAGCTGAGTGCGGAGTTTTGTGTCAAACCAAAAAGGGGTTAGTAAAAACAGTTGGTAACAAGAGGTAGTTGAACTGTAGAAATGTGCTAAAGCCCGTTGCTGTTTTAATTTGATGTCTGCACGTATCCCATACTTTTCAGTAAATATTTTCTCGTTTTTCCAAGTAAAAGCAAACTCCTTTCAATGAGCACATTTCGGTGCTAAAATAGTTACTTTTTTTGTAACATGGTCTTGAAGCTTTTTAGATAATTTGAGTGGCTGAAGTGAGACAATAATAGAAGCCCTGTACAATTTGCACATCGTTCTTAGTATTATCAAGACACTCCTATTTAAAATAATATCTAAAATAAGCTACAAAGACCTATATTTAAGCTGTTTAAGATTTAAGCCCTCCAAACACCCTGCATCTAATCTTGTGACTCTTGAAGCATTAATCCATCCATCCATTTTCTAACCACTTTATACAATACAGGATCAATGAGTAGCAGGAGCCAATCCCAGCAAGCTCTGGTTGCAAGGCAGGGCACACCCTGGACGAGACACCAGTCCGTCGCAGGGCGGACACAGTAGCACACACTCGCACCAGGGCCAACTTTGCCAGAAGCCAGTTAACCAATCAGCGTGTCTTTGGATTGTGGGAGGAAAGGTGTTTGTGGGTAAGAAGTAGAGAGACCTAGTACTGACAGTGGTGCCGTGCGCTTTACTGTCTGTGCCTGTGTCCCCTCAGGGAAGAAGAGCAATGTGAACTGTCTGAGCAGTCTGGTCAGCTGGTACATGGAGCACCAGAAGACCTGCCCCCACGAGCCCCAGCTGCACGCCCTCGAGCCTGTGCTGGGCTTCTCCACCACGGCGGTGTGGCAGTGCCAGGCCGGCCACGGCTACATGCAGCACCTGGTCTCTCCCAGCAAGGATGCCAGCGAGTCGGAGAACGAGCCCGAGCCCGACACGCCGCCATGCGACAGGGTGGCACCCTGCACCAGGAGGAAAACGGCCTCTGCGTGCCACCTGGGTGAATGGCCGAACCGGTTAAAGCCGACGCCAAAAGCCAACAATAATCAACATTTCTGCGTGTACATCCTTCGTGGGTTGACTGTGACGGTTTCTTTCCCTTTTCTCCTGCCGCAGACGCCACGGAGACGGCCGAGGAGATGTCGGAGGGCCTGCAGGGCGGCGATGGCGAGCTGGCCAGAGCAGAGCCCATCACGCAGGACAGTCAGGGGCCTCCGCCGGGCCATCCCGGCGAAGCCGACGCGGACTCCCCGGCGGCCAGGTCTCTGTGGAACATGGAGGTGGTCTTGGAGGAGGGGGAGGCCGTGCTGGAGGGCAACAAGGCCGGCGAGCCCCCTGGGCAGCCGGAAAATGCGGCGGCATCCTCGGAATCGGGTCCCGGAGCCCTGGGCCGGCATGCGGCGGGACCGGAGGAGGAGAAGGGAGGGGGCGCGCTGGCCGCCGAGACGGACTACGAGTGCATGGTGGTCACTGCCGCCCTCACGGACAGGGCAGTCAAAGACGGGCGGGTTGGGGTGGCGGAGGACTCCGGGCGGGATCCGTCCCACCCTGCGCCCCCTCCTCCCCCCACCATGCACATCACCGGCGGCGGGGAGCTGTACGACCAGCAGACTCTGCAGACCGTGGTGGCCAGCTGTCAGATCCCCGACGCCCAGGGTGCCATTGAGGGATCCCAGGTAGGACCCCCCACCCATGGCCTTCCCATTTCCCTCAATCAGAGCTGGATCCACTGAAACGAGGCAACTCGAAACGTCTTGGCCTCCTCTTGTTCCGGAGCTCATAGTCGACACATCTTCTTTACTGGCTCGCTCCCTCTTCTGATTGCATGCCTGCTGTGGAATGTAAGAAAGGATACAAACAGGAGAGCTTTAGCCCACTTGTTTCTGGTTTGCTGATTGATATGAGGATCTCATGCATGCTTTTCTTCTAGGTTCCCTGGCAGTGTGCTGTAATAACACTACTGGCTATCTTATATTGCCCAGATTCCTATAATAATCCCTGTTTAAGCCATAAGCCTATGTTCTTTGATTTAATCAGTGGTCTCCTTGATTCACTGTTGGTCCTAAAATATCCTTCTTTTTAAGCTCAGTATTTTTCTGGGTTTTGTAACTGTTTGTACCAGTCTTGGACTGCTGATCCGTCCCTCCCACCTGTTTCTACGGGGAGGGGGAGTGGTGACTCTGCAGTCAGTTTCCTTGTTTCTCCTGGCAGGTGATCATCATCACAGGGCCCAGCTATGAGGCCCTGACCACAGAGGGCCTGCAGCTGAACGTGGGCGAGAGCGTGGGGGAAGAGATGACCTGCACGGTCATCGAGGGGGTGGCGTATAACCAGGTCTGCGATTCTGGGCTCGGGCACAGGGGCGTCGTCCAGAGCTTGGACACTGCTAGAGGTCAGTCTTTGGCGGTTGTCACCTTGCAGCTCCTTTGTGTGTTTATGTAGATGAGATCTTAATCTTTGCTGCCTGTGTGCCTAGCTGCAGGTGTTTCAGTTCACGGTGTTTGTGTATTGAAGGCCAGTGTGCAAAGAGCCATTCTATCTTTAAATGAGATGTTTAACCTGCTAATGTGAGTAGCCTAGGCAGAAAGAACATAGAATTAGTAAAACTATAATGGGATACAGAAAAGGTGAACAAACAATGAATGTATTGGGAGAAATCATATGAGCTGTTAATTTATCCTCGTGATGGGTGGGTTCAGATCTAAATTCTGCAGTTTTTTATCAACAGCTGGTCTGAGAGTAGTCTGTAGACTATATAATCCCTGCTGCACAGATCTGGTTAGTGGATTCTCTTTATCAGAGCCTTTTAACAAACCTGGAGGAAAATCCAGTTAAAATAGAGAGGATATAGAAACAGTCTACCCACCCTTATTGAGATTTCAGCTTTTGTAGATGTAAAGGCTGAAATCAAGACAAATCATTTCAGACCTTTTTTCACCTTTAATTAGTTCTCGTAACCAACAATATTCAAGCGACAAATTAAAAAAAACTTTCAATGCCTTGGTTACATAACTGTGCCCATCCTTTTAACCTCACATCTTATTTTTTAGCAAACCCAAGCTAATGAATTTCTGAAAACGGTTGTCTGTCTGTGCCTGTTTCTTAAAACTCCAAAATCTTTTTGGAGACGCTGCTGGACTTGTGTGGTTATGACGGAGGGGGGAGTAAAAATGTGGCCTTGGCGCTTGCAGCTGTCGGCAGCAGGCAGGAGGTGCACAGTAACCTGGAGCTGGAGGGCCTGGGCGTGCCGGCTGAGGAGAAGGAGATCCAGAGTGGGCTTCAGAGGTGGGTAATGTCCAGAACAGGCTGTCTCTCTGATGTGGATGAAATCGATGCCACGGTTTCTTTCAAGAAGTGGCTGGTTGTTAAAGACCCTCAGATAGCTTTGCCAATGGCACCCCAACAAACCATATTTCTAGTTTAGAGATGAGCGACAAGGCAGGGGCCTCTGGGTGACCCCAGCTCAGGGCTGCATGTCTCTCTGGGATATCGACTGTGCGCAGGAAATCAATTAAGAAAATGGCTTTTAGACAGTGCCAGGGCAATCTCGTGCCAGGGATCAAGAGTGAAGCAGACATGCTTTTTAAATAGGCTGTTATTCTTCTCCATCTGGGTCCAGAGAGAATGAGTCTGGCTTCTCCTTACTCTTTGATTTTTGTCCGACATAAATATATGACCTATTTAGCTTTTTCAAAGGCAGGGTATTTTTTTGATCCGCCATCTTGATGGAAACGCTCAAGGGTGCTGGGGTTGCCCGGCAGGAGACAGGGGATTCGGGTGGCGCGTGTGCCTCGGGGGGTGGCGCGTGTCTTGGCCTGTGGAAGTGGTATGACCTTGTTCCCTGTGCGGTTTGCTACAGGTCCAAGAGGAGCCGGCGGGGGCCCGTGATCGAGGCGGACGGGATGCTGAAGATGTTCCACTGTCCATATGAGGGCTGCAGCCAGGTGTACGTGGCCATCAGTAGCTTCCAGGTGAGGAAAGTGAAGGCGCATGCACTTCCATCGGGCTGCCTGTCACTCCCCCTGGGTAAGGGGGAACCTTATTTTACGCACAAGTCTGTGATGCAAAATTACAGTTTATAATTAGTTGTTTCATGGGGGTTATAATTCATAATAATTCCTTACACTTAGTAGTGCTTTTCTGGACACTCCACAAAAAAGTGCTTTAGAGGTACTCCACTCCACCACCACCACCAGGATGATGCGAGGGCAGCCATAGTGCTTCAGTCTTCTCGCCACACACCCGATATTACTGGGAAGGAGAGCAGAGTGATGGAACCAGTTCATAGATGGGGATTATTAGGAGGCCATGATTGGTAAAGGCCAGGGGGTAATTTGGCCAGGAAACCAGGGTAACACCCCTGATCTTTTCTGTAGGATTTTTAATGACCACTGAGAGTCAGGACCTCAATTTGATGTCTCATCCAAAGGATGGTGCTTTTTGTTTTTTACACTGTTGTGTCCCCGTCACTATACTGGGGCATTAGGTCCCACACAGACCGCAGGGTGAGCACCCCCTGCTGGCCCCACTAATACGTCTTCCAGCAGCAGCCTTAATTGGTCCCAGGAGGTCTCCCATCCAGGTACTGACCAGGCTCACACCTTGCTGAGCTACAACGGGCTGCCAGTTATGAGTTGCAGGGTGATATAGCTGCTGGCTGCTGGGTTATATCACTATGTGGTTTTAATTGCTGTTTTTTTATGGCTGAATCTTCTCTAAAAACAAGTCTGTGGTGGCTCTTGATTGGGGGGGGGGAGAGCAGGGTGAGCCCTGTAATCTCAGTGTCGTTAGTTCCAACTTCATGTCACAAGTAGATTCCTGACCGGGATGCCACAAGCAGCAGCTTGAGAGTTTGAGCACTTCTGGGATAGGACTGGGTTCAGGCAGAAGATGGTTACGGTCAATTGTTTGAAAGAGATATTGCACTGGGAAAGAAAGATTTCCTGTGTCTATTAGTATTTCACCTGGGGACACAGAGGTGTCTCCCAAATGGGAGTAGTGTGAACCCACAGTGAAGGGGGTGAGGAACAATCCATAATACACATTGAAGTAGTTCAGGTGGGGAGCTGCGTCAGCTTGCATAGGCTGCTGTGTGAGGCACCTGAAGAAGGATCCGCAGCCGAAACGTTGTTTTCTTTCTTCTCTTTTCAGTATGGAATAAACCTATTACTTGTTCCATAATACACATTGCTTTCTTTGCCACCCTCTGTTTATAAGGTGATTCGATTTGCCCCCAATTAATTTGTTACTTAATTTGACTAGTTTTTCAAGCCTGTTGCAATCAGTGGTACTGATATTACCAAACCAGCATGTGAGACAGTATGTTAATAACACTTGCAATAAAATACTTTATTTAAAAATGTTGAGGTAGTTCTATCTACCTTGAAATGGCTTAGTTTCCTTAGAAAAAAGAATGTTGAAAGTCTGTGTCAAACATATAAAGGCAAATACATCCACTATTGAGCTGAGGGTATGTTAGTGCCTCCGTGCTCTTTTCTATAGAGAGGTTTGAGAAATAAACCTGTTTTAAAAACTACACTGAACTGCGTTGTCAACAACAGGAACTGTATATAAAACTAGAACTTTCACCCAGGCACCCATTTATAAGTGACAGACCCTCCAGAAGCAGCTTCCAGTGTCCATACTGGACGTCTGACCCACTTCCTGTACCCTCCTCCCTTTCAGAACCACGTCAATCTGGTCCACAGGAAGGGCCGGACGAAGGTCTGCCCGCACCCTGGCTGTGGGAAGAAGTTCTACCTCTCCAATCACCTGCACCGCCACATGATCATTCACTCAGGTAACCCCAAGAGCACCCGCACAGAGGCATTCATTACAGTGCCCTCGACGTGGGTGTGTCCTGACGTTTCTGGGGTTTGTTCCCAATCCCTCCAACCCTTAGTGGGAAATCGATTCCTTTTGTGTTTTTTGTCATCTAAACCCTGACCCTTGTGTTTGCACTCATGTTTTTGTCTCGCTGCTGGTCCTATAGTAGTAATCTGTATTGAATGTTAATAACCTTTCAGTGTTTTAAATATTTCTGTCACGTACCCAGTCAAGCAGTGCAGACTAGAGAGATTCAATTCCTTTAATCTGTGTGTTCCAGCCATTTCCTTAAGACCAGGAACAGCCATCCTTTCTCTTCATTGATCTGATGTTTAACTTCTGTGGAACTTTGAAGAAGTCTTAATGAGATTCTTGGATGGCTAAATTGCTATCTTTCAGTGATGTCAGATCTCGCAAGCCTATTCTGAACCTTTTTTTTTATGGTTCGGATCTTAGGCAAGCTTCCTGGTGTTGCCAATCAGTGGGGACAAACAAGAAATGAAGAATAAAATGCAAAAATCTATTCCATGTTAAAATCAGGTCTTGTAGTTCCTTGTGTAGTACAGGTATATGAGTTCCTGTAAAGATGCAGTCCTGCAGGTTTTATGGGTAAACTGAAAGGGCAACTGCAACACTATTTTAATTGTTGTGGGTTAGAAAGAATCAGAAGTTACTGTGTACATTTTACTTTTATTGAAGTTTGAAATGCACTCATCACATGTTAAACCTCCAATTTACATCACAAAATAGACCAAATTTCCAGGTATGCACAGCATCATATTGCTGTAATTGTCTGCAAATTCAGAAATGAGACAACGAAACATTCGGTGAGATGATGCAGCTCTATTACATTGTAAACAAGCAGGCTTGTTAATCCATCTCTTTGAATCCAATACAGATATTACTCTTGATTTTGGGATGGTTTTGCCAGCAAAATACTACTTGTTAACTCTGCATACAGATCAAGCTGGAAGCTTTCTGCAGTGAAATGACTGGTACGCAACCTGTACTTAATTCGCTTGTACATCCCATTACATTAGTCATTATAGTTACTAGTGAGCAGGAAGGGCTGGTTTAAGTCACAGTTGTCACCGACCCTCACTTTTGCCCGTGGTGAGACCAGGGGTTTGTGATGCAATGGCAATCTTGCAGTACTTTCACAAAGTTCATGGTTTTCGTGCTTAATTAAAAATGTGTAAGTTCATTAATTTATTTTGTTACTGAGATTTAATAACTGGTCTGAGGAATTGGAACTGCAATTCCCCTTCAAGTGCGGGATCTGTATAGCATGTTAATTCCTCCTTATTAATGCAACTGATCGATCCAATGACATCGCTGACGTCAGAGCTGAGCTGGCACAAGAACCAGAAGACACTGTGGCTCTCCAGGACCAGAGTACAATCAGATTATGGTCATGTGGCATCTGGTAACAGTGACAGCATGCCCCTCCTCCTCCTCCCCCCCCAGGTGTGCGGGATTTCATCTGTGAGACCTGTGGCAAGTCCTTCAAGCGAAAAAACCACCTGGAGGTTCACCGCCGCACACACACTGGAGAGACGCCGCTGCAGTGAGTATCCCTCAATTCCCGAAACCCCAGCAGCATGCACACTCCATAGATCAAAACCCGGAAAGACTGCTTCAGCTGATATCCTGTCAGTCTTTAAATTTAAAAGTTGTTGCAGTTAGCCACTTTATCCAGTTGAGCTGAAACAGACATAAGCCTTCTCTGTAAAAGGCAGTGTTCTATGTTATGCCTGCAAAATAATTGCAATGGAAAAAAATCTTAAAGCAGGAAAAATCATCATCTTAGTAATTTGTCCATGTATTTTTATTGTTTTTCACACCAGCAAAAATACATGCTGCATATTGCATATTAAACTAATGTCAGAGGTCATGTAGATTGTTGGTACAGTGTATTATGCAGGAAGAATTAATGAGAAAGAAAAATACAGAATTCCCATCCCCTTCCCACATTTCTCCCAAATCTTCACTTGCAAAAAGGAGTTGAAGGACAGAAGACACAAAAAAGCAAAAAAGATAATCATAAAGTTAATTACACTAACTCTCTAGGAATTAAAAAAAAAAAAGTGGAAGGCCAGTCCTAATGGATATCATCTCTGTGGCCAGTTAGTGACAGATTAAGATCTAGGGTGTAGAAGGTAAGCTCAAAGTCTCAAAATATTTCAGTAATGTTTGCCAAGCTTTTAAAAATCTGATTTTTTTAAAATTATGCATCATATTTCTGATCCATTGAACAAATGTGAGTGAGGCAACTTGCTTCCAGTTAAAAATGATAAGGTGATTGAATTTTGGATATGGTTATTCAGGTGGCACACTAAGCATATTAAAGACTGTGAATGCCAGTCAAGTCTTCTGTTGACAGTGATGAAGCCGTTCTGAGAGTCCCAGGAGGTTTGATTTTCATGGTGGAATCTTAACTAGAAACTCATTACCTGACCTTTGATAAAGTATTATCTATCTGTCTAACAGGGAGAGCTGTATTTAGTCTGTAACCATGTGAGCTGCTCATATTGCACACAGACTGTTGTCACTTCACCTATAGTGTAGCTCATTAAGGTAACTCTGTACCCCCAAAGGTCTCAAAACTTTCCGATCTGTTAGCTGGAAAGGTTTTGAATACTTACGCAGTTGTGACTTTTCAAGTTTTTCATATCGATGTATGTATATTAATTATACATAATTATGATCTATTTGTTTTTTGTTTCAAATCTGAGCGTATATAGCTGTTATCACAAAGGTCTTGTAGTTGTATTACAAAGCACATTCCGCCTTGTAGCGATCATGACCCCTGACGACTCGCTCTGTCCCCCCCCCCCTCCCCTCGCCCAGGTGTGAAATCTGTGGGTACCAGTGCCGGCAGCGGGCCTCCCTCAACTGGCACATGAAGAAGCACACCCCCGAGGTGCAGTACAACTTCACCTGCGAGCACTGCGGCAAGAGGTTCGAGAAGCTGGAGAGCGTCAAGTTCCACAAGCTCAAGAGCCACCCGGAGAAGCAGGCGGCGTGAACGTGGAGGGGGTGAACTTCCTGTCCCAACCCAGCAAGGAAGCTGTGTCCTGTAGGCTCTCGGCCAGCGCCCTGAAAATGAGGTGCTCTGTGGTGACTGGGCCCGATTGCTCTCTGGCACTGGCGAACTTCCTGCGCAGTGCGTTTCCTCTCCTTGCGGTGCTTTTGGAAAGTCCTCTCCAGAGCCCATAGTGCTTAAATCTGTGGACGCTTTTTTTACACAACATCTAGTGAAGGAGGCCGGGGATGGTGGTGTAGGGCACAGTGATATGTTGGGTTTTACGCCAAGGAGAGGGTAGCACGTTCTGGGTTTGAAGTGACACTCCAGACCTTCTTATGTGTTTTGAGACCTTTTTTGGTTTGAGGTGAAGTGATTGTTTGTAGGGGTCTCATCCCCGAGACAGAACGTATGGAAATTTCCAATGCACTAATGCACAGATGCCTAACTAGGCTGTAATATTACTGGCCCATCTTAAAATGGCTGCAGGCCTGCGTGGAATTCTAGTTAGTTTCCAAGGGGCATGTGGTAGCTCTGCTTTTTGTAAAAGCAGACAATCAGGGAGCGAGGCAGATTGATGCTGCAGAAGGCACATCATATTTGCAGAAGTGCTCCAGGACAACCAATTTCACTGATGATTCGAAAAGACTCATTTTAACACAGCAGGACTCTGCTAACTGGTTTCCTGCCAGAGTCCCAAATCCTTATTGGATTGGGCCAGAGATGAGAAGACTTCCCATTTACCTGCATTGATCTCCTCAACATGTCTTGCACCAGGACGTCCCATGTCTGCTTCTCAAAGGCATAGTAGATCTGGCAGGTTTCGTACAAATCCTCACTAAATCAACAGCTTCAGTCCAGGCCTTGTGTACCTCCAAGGTGTCCTGCTTCTTTTAAAGCACCGGTACCTGAAGAACTAGCTGAAGTTATTCTATAGGACCAGTGAAGCCAATAATGAGCTGATTTTAGGCGATTAAGAGCTGGGTTGAACAGGATGGGAGACCCCTAATGTAAAGAACACTTTCCAATCTGACTGCTGTGCTGCTCCTGAAGCCTGTACTTTGGGATCCCCGCCTTGGACACTCGAGAGTGATCTGGATTTTAATCATGGAAAGATGAACTGGTCTGGGAGGCAAACATTACAGTTTGGCCAGGTTAGTTTATCAGTAGAAGGCCTCTTTCAAGGAGCTGCAAAAATGTATGTAATATTTTAAGATCTGAGCTTAACTGGAGTTTTTAAGTTTTGCCTACCCTCTTTATACCCCCCTTCCCCACACGCATACTGACTATTTGTTTAAGAGCTCAACTTTCTGGCAGTGGTTCCTGCACAGAGTGGAGGGGGGGTGAGGATCTGTAGAGGCGGCCTGTCAGAGCCTCTGTTATTTCTCCATGCGGTCCACGGGGGAGGGTTACATGTCTCTGGGAAAGCCTGCAGGTACTGGGGGATGTCTCTGTCCAGCTGTGGGGACCCTGGCTGACTCGGCTCCCAGTTGTGCTGTGCCGCCGCCGCCACCACCAGGAGAGTCCTGGTTGTAGCAGGCAGGTGACAGGACCCTGGCTCGAACCCGTGACATTTTGGTGCCGTGGAGCCCAACCTCCAGTCTGAGGGAGCACCTGTACTGCCTGGTTTCTGGTTGCGATTAAATAAGTGGTCACCCCCACGTGCAGACATCCCGCAGATCAGCACCCATGAGCGGCTCGCTCGGGCTCAGCAGGACCATCGCTCAGCGTGATCGCATCGCCGTAAAGCACAGAAATGACAAGTTCGTTTCTTCCAACATCTTGAACATCCTCCCCAGTTGCAGAGTCTTCTGCTTTACTGCAGGGCCAGCGCGGACATCCCGAGTTAACTGGGGTTCGGGGGTTCAAGGTCACAAACACATGATAAGAAGTGAGAAAGGGATCTAAAGGGCCTAACATTCTGGCTCAGTCAGATACTTTTTTTTTTATGCTGGTAGAAAATGTGCACTTTATGAGGGACGTTTTGAAGACTTGGCCTTTTTTGCCATGTCTGGACTTTTCTGAGCAAACTAGAGCCGAACTGACTGAACTTTTTCCCGTCCTTTTTAAAAAGGTGAAAAAAATCTGGTCTTTTCGGAGCACCGCGGACGCAAGCGATCCGTTTCTGAACGGCCGCATCTCGCACAGCGAGTGTTTGAGGCGGCGCTGCGGGTGACGAGAGAGGAGTTAAATAGTGGTTTAAACTTCAGACGAGAGCAAATTGAACTGGGGTGGTTGTCTCAGGAAACGTGGATTTGAACTGCTGCTTGACCAAACCAATCTCCTTTGTTTTATTCCGTTCAATCTTCTCTTTGGAAGCTTGTTCGTAAGGGGCATATGCACTAACTAAGCGCTGTAAAGTTACAGATTTTGTTTACTGTATCATATTAATACTAAATATGTGAAATATATTAATATTACATTTGAAAAAAAATAAACTGTACAGAATACACCCACGGTGGAATAAAGCCAGTTTTTGCTGTGCTGTTTCTTGTTGTGTCAATGGCCACCAGGTGGCAGTGTTTCCAGCCACAGATGTGTTGAAACTTGCGGTTTCGTCCTTGGAGTGGGACAGTCTAGACTCCAGTATCTGCAGGCGAACAAAACTCTTTTTGTGTAATTGTACTTTTATTTTCAGCTGAAGAGTTGCAGTTCCGAGTTAATCTGTACTCATTGTTGTTTAAGGGTATAAAGTAGTCCTAATCAATCAAATAAATAATTCTGTTTAGAGCTTGGTTGAATCAGTTTGGCAGGAACTGGGGTCACCAGGGATTGGAAGATGTATCTTGGCGTTTAACACTCGAAGAAGGCTCCACAGCCAAAATGTTGTTTCCTTCTCTTTCAAACCTTTAATTTGTTCTCTTGGAGTTTAAGGTGAGTCTTAAAGTTTCACTCCTGTTTCCACTGGTCTAACTGATTATTCGGATTGAGGTTCTCAGGCACTTTTTAACATTTTCAATGTAGTGGGAGAGAAGCCTTTGTGCACAGTTTTGTGTGCTGTAACTGCTTGGTATGTAGGTTTCTGGTTTTGTGTAAAGTTTTAAATGATGAGCTGGGGGGATCATCCCCTTGTTTCTTGCT